TGTCCATTTGTTTTCACCTGAGGAATTTATTTCATAGGTTTATAATTGTGTTCGATAGACGGTTGGATGATAGAATCTATAGAAACGTCATTTTTATGTTGCTTGTAACTTAGCTATCAGGTTCTCTAATAACATGGCTAGTCCTCCCCCCACCCCAAAGAAAAAAAAGAAGCTTGACAAGCTTGTTTTTTTTTTTAAGAAGTATGGCTTCCAATTAAATCATTGACTTCTTATGTGATTTTTTAAGAAAATTATACAATCGCCATATTCTTATAAAGCTCGATAGCAAAGAATATAAAGCTGTGGTTAGGTCTAGCTCGTTTTTCTTCGGTAAAAAAAAGCTAGTTCTTTTAGCGTTGGTCTAAAAAGTATGGTTCTTGTTAAAAATTAGTTATGGCTGACGATAAAATTATTACATTTGATCTGTTACTTCGCACTTACTATAGCAACCTGGTGGTGTAGGGGGTTGATGTGCATACATCGTATGAAGATAGTTCACCGTGACCTGAAAAGTGCCAATTGTCTTGTGAATAAGCATTGGACTGTGAAGATCTGTGATTTTGGGCTTTCAAGAATAATGACAGATTCTCCAATGAAAGATTCTTCATCAGCGGGAACCCCAGAATGGATGGCTCCTGAACTTATTCGAAGTGAACCATTCACGGAAAAATGTGACATCTTTAGCCTGGGGGTGATAATGTGGGAGCTTTGCACATTAAATAGGCCCTGGGAAGGCGTACCAATGGAGAGGGTACGGTTGATAGCTTTCAGTTTCTGCATTGTTTGATGAAAGTTTTCCCTTTGGGGTCCCAAACTTTCAAGTTCTGATGTTTGATAGCCTTCTCTCTGCTGATCAGGTAATTTATGCCGTTGCTAACGAGGGATCCAGACTGGAGATTCCTGAGGGTCCACTGGGCAGGCTGATTTCAGGTCTCTGCAACCGCCAAAATACTCATAACCCTTTCTATTTCGCATTTGATCACATGACGATGCCTGAACTTAGACCTATTGGTTGATCTCCATTTAAAATGTTTTCTTATGTGCAGATTGTTGGGCAGAACCTCATGAACGGCCAAGTTGTGAAGACATCCTTTCTCGTCTGGATGACTGCGAATACTCATTGTGCTAATACAGCCTCTTATCTTTGTACATAGAAACTTTTGGTAGAGTTGTCACATTGCGAAGCGTCCTCGGCTGATGCTGCTGTAGACTACTATTGTGATTTTTGTTTTGTTTCGTGTTTTTTTTTTTCCCCACCGTTAAAACTCGTGATAACGTCAATCGGCTCATCTTTCATCTTTCACATGTCTTCGGTTTGAGCCGTGAAATCTGTGAATTCTGTTTCACTCCCATCCTCTCTGAGCAATGAAGAAAATCACAGTATTTCCCATCCGAGTCTTTAGATTCTGCCGTTATTGGATGTTATATAATTGCCTTGAAAAGGGGTGGTGAGTTACGGGCATGTTCTTCTCGTGGGTGGGGCGGATAATAATCCCAGCTGTCTAAACCCCAGCATTGGGTTTGTTTCGGAGCTGTACTAAGATTTTTTTTTTATTCCATATCTTTAAAAGTTTTTGCGAGGTGCTTCTTTCATTATTTTTCCCAGATAGAATATAATAACTTTTTCAATAGCTTAGCACGCATCACTGGATGGATTACAGAAATAAATATTTACAGATTTACTTAACATTGTTGATGGAAACTAGTGAAAAAAATTTGTACAGGATGGTGGACACTCCCGTTGTAACGGATCGTTTCATTTAGAGACCATTTTTTTTAACAAGACACCTGTATCCGTGGGAAGCACCTAGTTTTTTTAAAACCCGAGGTGTCTAGGACGTGGGAACATTATGAATATGATTTAGCCCTTTTTTTTTCTTTCTGGGTACCATGATCTAACTCTTTTTTTTGGGCCAAAATGATTTAACCCATTTGAAGTTGATTTGTTTTGGGTACAAAAGAGGGCTGAGCCCAAACTGAAAACAAAAACCAAAAAGGAACTCAGGTGGGGATTTAATCCCCGAAACTCTTTCTGCACACGAGCCCTTAAAACATCTGGGCACGCATCATAAACAAAGGACTCGGAAATTCCCATTTTTGCAAGAACATCCTCAGCTTCATTCCCACTTCTTTGTATATAGCTCAGCTTCACTTTCCATTGTTGATTCAGCATATCATGTATCTGCATAATCATGAGTGTTGCCGTGTCCCTTGTTTCCTTTTTTAACAGCATATCGTACAAACTCTTGGAGTCCGTTTCAAGCACAACATTTTTGAATCCAAAATCCCAAGCCATTTTCAGACCTTTGTAAACCGCCCAAGTCTCAGCTTCCAACACGCTACACTTCCCAATTTGATACGAGAAACCCACAATCCAGTTTCCATTATGATCACTAATCAAACCTCCGCATCCTGCATCCGCATACTTTCTTGACATTGCTCCATCCACATTTACTTTAACCCAATCAAGTTGAGGCGGGGACCAAAGTGTTGCCTTAGCATATTTCGGTTGATTCAAGACTGTCAAGTTACTAGAGCCCATAATATAGTTTTGCCAACTATGTTTAATAACAGTTGAAGGATTAGCAGGCTTTACAAAATTTTCATCAAACATAGAATCATTTCTCCACCTCCAGAATTTCCATATAGAAATTCCCCATGATAGATCCCATTCCAATTCAGTATCATCGGTCATATTACCCGAGATTAATACTAATCCATTCACGCAGAGAAGCTGTGAAAAAAATTGGAGCAATGTTCTGAGCTTACCCGACTGATCCAGTGGGATTTTGCATATGTACAATCACACAGAATATGCATAATATCCTCTGTCCTCAGAGTTGCAATGCGCGCACAAAAGGGAAACTTGAGTCCATTTACTTCTCCAAACATTGGTTGGCAGTTTCCCATGAAAAATTCTCCATAAAAAAAGTCTAATCCTCTCAGCTCCTCTCCATTTCCAAATGATCTTAAAAACTGGGCTATAAAGTGAGGGAGGGTTTTCTTCTATTAGAAAGTAGGCACCTTTAATAGAGAACAAGCCAGAGTTTGAGGCTTTCCAATAAAGAAAGTCATGACCAGCATTTTCTGATTGGTTAGTTTCTGAAGGTCCCACATACCATTTGAAGTCCAATCTGCAACCACACTATTCTCTTCTTCTCCGTTGAGAGTTCTTCGACATAGATCTTTTATACTTCTATCCGGGAACAGCCACACATCATTGAAAAAATTAATGGATTTACCATCACGCAGCACCCACCCTGTACCTTTCCCAATAACTTCTTTCTGTTGGCAAATAAATTTCCAGAGATTTGAATCTCCTGGCAAAGCAGTAAGCAGATTTTCTTCATTGTGCATCATATACTTCTTATTCAGAACCTCAACCCAAAGACCTTTGCCTCCTACAATTAAGTTCCATGCTAATTTTGCACCGCAGGCCCCATTTACAGAGGATAATATTTGAAATTGATGTTTATCGCATGAGAATTAAAAGAAACATCCTAGAAAAAGGTTTTGGGCCGTGATTCTGGGCTAGTTGACCCCAGGGTATTGGGTTTTTCTTAGGTACAATATAATGGTTCAGGTTTCAAGAGAATCTCTTCTCTCTCTCTTTTTTTTGGGTTATACATAGGTATCTTTATTAGAAAGCACTGTCAGGTACTAAATGTGGTCATATCTTTTACTAGGGATTTGAACCTTGATTTATCACATTATGAGGGATTAACCTTTTTCACTAGATCCAACCTCTATTGATAGAAAATCTCATCCTTGAATAGTTTGTGGTGCAAAAATTGCTTGGAAGCTCATAAAGGGAGAACAGGGTCTGTGGGCTGATATTTTAAGCCACAAATATATGACGAAGAATGAGAAAAATGTGCTTATGGCGCATTCTGGTGACTCTAGTCTTTGGCATTTCATCAGTAAGCAGAAAGACATTCTGGAAAAGGGTACTTGTTGACAAATTCGGGATGGAAGGTTTGCGAATTTTTTCAATGATCACTGGTTATTCAAAGACAAAAGAATAAAAGACTCTTGTCTAAGACCTCTCTCTAGTGATGAAGAGAATAGTGTGGTAGCGGACTGGGTGGACCATGGTTCCCAGAATTTTCAAAAACTGGATGGGATTGTGAATAAAGAGGTACTTCAGACTCTATTGGTGTTATACCACCAATGGATATTGCTGGTGCAGATATTATGGTTTGGAATGCTAGCTCTGATGGGAATTTCACTCTGAAAAGTGCTTATTTGCTAGAAGAAAATCCTCCCCAGTTATATAATACTCTATTTTCTTCTATTTGGAAATAGCGTGGTACTGAGAGGATTAGAGTTTTTCTATGGCGTCTCGTGCATGATAGATTGCCTACCCATCTGACGTGACCAACAAGGCTGGATGTGGGGTTTGTTTGCAAAGTTTTAAAGGTGATTGGATTGCTGGATTCTGCTATCAGATTGGTCTTTGCTCTGTCATGGAAGCTGAAAAGTGGGCAATTTTCAAAGGCTTGAGCTTGGCTTGGGAGTATGGAATCAGGAACTGAGTGTTCAATCAGATGCTAAATTCGTGATTGATATGTTAAATTCCAATTTACAACTCTCTGAGTGCAGCCTCTTGATCTTAGAGATACAACAGATGCTGGAGCGACCCTGGAAATTTCTAGATCCTGCAATAATGTTGCTGATACTCTGGCGAAGAGAGGAACTACTGAATCCTCTATGTTTGATTTGTGTCCTGATTTGAGCGCGAGCGTTCGGGACTTAGTTTTTGCATTTTTGGGCTCTAACTCTCTCTTTGCACCAAAAAACCAAAAAAACAGAATACCCGGGGTATCATGTTGTTTTCTTTCTTGTGCGACGCAACTCCTTCGTCGGGCCATAGCAAGCCAATTGGGTCAGGCATTCTGAAAGCCCAAGACTAAGGTTGCCGCAATTTCAAAATGGTCTTGGCCCGTTGGCCGACTAACATCGTAAGACAAAATTTTGACTAAAACAAAAAAAGGGGAGTTTCCCGCACGGTGATCGGCTATCGTCGTACATTGGCGTTGGCAAGTTCCGGAGTCGGACTAACCATATTGTCTGACCTGAGAACCATTCCTTCCTACCACCGCCGGCAGTTCTAACTAAAAGCATAACCGCACCGCCTACGCTCCTCCAATCGCGCCCTACCGCACCTCGGCACTGCGTCACTCATGGACTCCCTCACGGGAGCTCTGTCGCCCTCCTCCACTGCTCCGTCTCGGTCGTCGCCGTTTCCCGGTCGGGAAGACTGCTGGAGTGAGGACGCCACCTTCACTCTCATCGATGCTTGGGGTGAACGTCACCTTGAGCTCAATCGAGGAAACCTCCGTCAGAAGCATTGGCAAGAGGTCGCCGACGCCGTTAACGCCAATCATGGCCACGTCAAGAAGGCGCGCCGCACTGACGTTCAGTGCAAAAACCGCATCGACACTCTGAAGAAGAAGTACAAGATCGAGAAGAACAAGGTCATCGATTTCGACGGGAACTATACTAGCCCTTGGCCCTTCTTCGCTCGCCTTGACGCTCTCATAGGCGATACGTTTCCAGTTAAGAGACTTCCGCCGGCGATCGACAGTAGCCGCCGTAGCTCCCCTCCGGCAAAGTCTCCGGCGTGGGTAACCTCACAGGTGCCTGTCGGCCCCCGATCCGGCACTCAGAAACGGCCGGCGTTGCCGGCTCCGGTGCCGGCGAGCATGAAAGACCCGTCTTTCCGTCGGAAATTCTCAGCTTTCGCAGCGGCAGCTGCAGCAGCGGCGGAGGCAGGGGATGCAGACAGTGACGATTCGGATGAGTCAAGGTCAAGTAGTGCCACTGGAAGTAAAAAGAGAGGTAGAGAAAGGGAGAAAAACAGGGAAAGCGATAGGGATTCAGAATTCGGGTACAGAGAGCTGGCACAAGCAATAGAGAGGTTTGGGGAGATATACGAGAGAGTAGAGGCGGCGAAGCAAAGGCAAATGGTGGAGTTAGAGAAACAGAGGATGCAATTTGCTAAGGATTTGGAGTACCAGAGGATGGAGCTTTTCATGGAAACGCAGGTTCAGCTTCAAAAAATCAAACGCGCCAAGCGATCTTCTCAGACTGGTGAGTCTTCTGAGCTTTATGTTTATCATTAGAGCCATCACTGCAATGCTACAGTGCGCCTTTTTGCCTTAATTCTTCTGATTTCATGTCACTATTATGTCAGTTTAGACTACATTAAATCTAGCTTGAATTTGATGCACGAACTCTGATACTGTACTGGTGTCTTAGGTTTGTGCTGTTGCTTGTGGTTTGTGATGAACAGCATGCCAAATAAGAATTCTTCAGTAACTTTGTATAATTTGTACTGGTATAGGAAAGAAAGTGGGAACTTGATAACAGTATCATTTTTGCTATATGCGTTCGTTTGAGAATTACTCAAGTTGTGAACTCATGATGAGGGTGATTAGTTATAGATCAATTAGATCAATTTGATGTCATTTGGTTCCTAATTTTTCATTTCATTTGCGATGGAGAGTGCATTTCCTGGATATGATAGCTCTATGTTCGTCACACTAGTTTTGATGTAATGAATTAACATAAACACTTGATCAATACTATTTGGAAACCACTTAGCGGATCATCTCATGTCTTTTGATCCTTTTTCATGATAAGTGTTTTTCATTTTTCATGTTTTCTGAGTTTGAGATTTACCTAATATTTTCAAGGTAAACTATTTTAGTTTAATCAAATATGTCAGGTTGACCCCTGCATTATGATGTGCTGAAAAGCTTATTCACGCCTTCACTCATAAGTACTTCTGTCCTGGATCATGGGGGTCGGACCCGGTTGTATTGATTGCTTAATTCATCATGTATGATTTCACATGCTTTTTGGCTTCTGATATGAATGAAGTGTAGCGTGTCAGCACTCCAGCTCATACACGACTAACCATTGGCTAGAAACTGTCCAAACTTTAGAATATATGTTTTGTTCTTGACTTGGATCTTCTTTAAGAAACAAGATCTGGGATATGTCGTCCTGGTCCAATCGAGCCTGCTGGGATTGACAATGGAGGAGTTTACTTGTCTGACATAAGTTATCTGATGGACAGTAAGTTTATAGTTGTGTGACTTCTTGGTTGCAGGGCCATGGTTTTTGCCAAAATTGTCCAATTTTAGTGACATTGAACCATATGGTGTTTGCCAATTTGATGCCAAAAGTGATTGAATACTTCTTTTATGACTCAACCAAATGTAAATTCGTTAATCTCTGTGGCTAAAAATTGGTCATTCCTCATGAAGAAAATGAATTCCTAGAAAAAACATGCACAATTTAGTATCTGTAAAGTTGGTAGCAACAGTGTTTTCTGTGCAACCCTTCAGTGTTTAAGTATTCATATGGCACACTTTGGCATGCACAATATGCATCATTTTCATTGATACATCTTGTGACAGGACACCAGCACATCAGTAAAGGCAGAAGTTAGTTCATGCCCCTAATGCTTAACGTTCCTCTTTTTTTGCCCTCCCTTTTTCACTCTCTTTTTTTTCCTCTGTCTTCTTAATTCTTTCTAATCCTAGCTGGGTTTGATGATCATTACTTTTGCTCTAGCTCACAGTCACTCTACTTCATACTAGATTATTTATGAACTTTGCTTTCTAACCTCTTCTCAGTAGCTTAAGATTAGGCATGTGACTCTTCTACGCCCTTCATGATTGGACAAGTAAGGCAATGTTGCGGTTGCATTAGATTTCTCCAGTGCGTTCACATTTAACCAGTCAATACCAAGAATGAGTTGTTCCTTTTAAGAATTTGTATAATTTTCAAGCTTTTTGTTAATGACTTAGTGATAAATGTTATCATGAAGTGTAAATGCAGATTACGACCACGGCCTTTGTTTCTACTGATGTTGATTTCTACTCATGTTTACGTTCTTCTCAATGTTGCGTCAAACAAAAGCTTTTCAACGATAGTTAAGTTGTTTATCCTAATTCCTAACCCACTTTCCTTAAACCTTAACTAGAAGGTAGATAGTATCTTTAAAATCATACACAACAGATGCCCATGTTTGTGAATTATCAAATGTTGAATCAGAGATGATGTCACTGCCGGAGTCCTTGAGGGGGTGTCCTAATTTCTTTGCGGATTGAATATTTTAAATCAATTTCATTATGAGTATTCTTGCCATTGCATTATTATCTCACGATTATGAGTAATGGGGTATCTAACTGTTATTCATATAATTTTTTCCTTGACAGACAGTTTCTCGTAGTAAGTGGTGATGGAGAATCTTGCAGGGAGAAAAAAATATAGAATTTAGCTTTGAATATGAAAAATATAGATTCTCTTTTTGGAAAGAAAGGAATCTGAGAAAGGTATTTTTGGGTCAGCTTTGGATGTACCTATTTATATAGTAGTTACCCTTGTGAAGTAAATTTAGTGTCTTTGTCACTGGCTGAGGATTAGCGGAGGATATAATGAACAACGAGGCCCTTCAAGGCTCACTCAAATGAAAATTTCATTTCTTAATTTGACATATATTTTCAATGTTGTGTTCAGTGCTGTATTCTAATATGGCTGAGTTGTTTTCTTTTTTTTTTTGGGTTTAATTTTTGTTATTTTGTTGAATTCATCAAGAAGAATCGAATGTCTTGTGTTGCCGAACAATCGCTAAACTAGATAAAAAGCGTACTCAGAGGATAACACGCGACATATTAGGCGCTCATTTTTTTAAGACAGTAAAATTTTTATCTCGTCCCATTTGGTATTTAAGGCTCAAATAATAAATATGGACATTGTTTTAGTGCTGATTTGAATTTTGGTTTCAATTGTTGTGAGGAGCTAAATCTTTGCATCAAACCTAATCCCTGTTAGTTTTTTCATGAAAATTTCTTTTTTGTGGTTTCCAAAAAATTTAGGTGAGTAAGGTTTTTTAGTGAAAGTTGATTCGTGATAAATAAATTACCTTTTTTTGGCCAAATCATGTCTTTTTTTGGAAAAAATACATGCCAATTTTTTAACAAATTCGCATCCACATATTAAGTTCATCTCTCATTTGTAAATGTTATGATACATATATTTTTGTTATATAAAAATAAAAAATATATTTTCAGATTTGTCAAACTAGCCCCACCCGGGCTGGGCCCTCTCTAAGTTTGGACTCAATCAAATTTTAGTCTCATTGCCCATCATTCTTGGGCTTTTCCCTAATATTTTGATTTTCTTGGGTCTTTTCTTTGGGCCCAGTCCATGGAAATGGGAAGCTCTGGATTTGGTCAACCAAAGTCGAGCAAGCTGTGATTCAATTATTAATTGTTTATACTAACGTGAATTTGATTTAGTAAAAGAAACTAGTTCCTCGTAATGTAATAAACCAAAGTTTAAATCTCTATTAGGAGATGTGTTCACATTTAGTACTCAACAATGCCTCGAATAGAATTATTTCTAATAGGAGGATACCGATACTTTGGCAAAAAAAAATTATTTATCTTGTACCGAAAAATATTATTAATTATTTATCATGCATTGTTAACTTTAAATGAGCCATCAAGAGTCGAGACTTTTCTAATTACAGGTCAGTCAACCTAAATATAAACCTATTCAATCTTTTTACAATTGTTTTACCCTTTTCCTGGCTATCGGCTAATACAACTATCTTACCTTATTTATTTTAATAATTTCATGAAATAAAAAATTTCTATGAAGGCCACAATTTAGTTTTATTCAATAAAAACACGAGTCACCCGCACAAAGCTAAGGTATGAGGTTTCAGTTGGACCCTCAGGGAAGTTATTCCTTGATGAATATTCACATTTTTTGGAAAAGAAATCTCCCGAAAGGAATTATATTCTGAGAGAAATGCGACTTGATGGTGCGTTTGTCGAAGACAACAAAATTTGATCTTCTTGTTTTATTAATTGTATTACAAGCTGTGCTGTGTATCCTTAGAAAAATTGTGTTCGTCTGATTTTGTTTATTGAAGTTTTTGTTTTCTGGATCCTTGATTTTCCTTTTTGCTAATATGACTAAAGCTATTTTAAAATTGAATTACTTTTTTCGACTTTTTTTTATTTAAGACTTAGTGAATTTTTTCCATACAGATTTTTGTTAAACTGATTTTTTTATGACAGTCTATTGAAGCATAAATCCATTGAATTTTATCTAAATTTCAGTTTGTAAAAGACCGTTGAAATTAGAAGTGAGTTTTGTCAATATATTAATTCAAACAAGCCCTTTGTGACGACCAGTTTCATAAAAATCCACAAGAACAACTCCGAATCTGGAACACGAATCAGAGTCCCAGCACTGGAAGTCGCTTGGTGGTAAGAAATTCTTCATCAAACCTTAAGTGCCTCGATATAAAAAAAAAAAACACAATAATTCTGGCTTTAAGAAATTCCTGGTAATCTCCATCATCTGGTTTTGATTCCGAGTGTTCACCCACGCTAACCATTTTTTCATCCATAAAATCAAACCATCCTGATCATCAAACCATTGACAGTCCAAAAGAAGATGATCAAAAGATTCGTCGACACTATCCAATCGGAACGCCCAAGCTCAAAATTTTCCAGACTCTCAGAATCATCCTATAGGGAAGATCATATGATTTTCCACAACACGTCCCAAATGCGTTGTTCCCTAGGTTGATCCGTGCATGTTGTTGCGGATGTGTATATATTTTGTTCCGAGTTCTCCCCAGGCCCCAGAGTTTAATTTGTTTCATGCCATTTTAGTCCCCAGACATGCAAGCTTGTCTAAGGTAATGGTTAATAGCCTGGTTTTGAAATGTTTGGAAGGTTTGTTGATAGGCCTCAGTGCCGCCTTATTGTTAATTTTTAATAATAAAATGTTGCTTAATAATCTACTATGTGTATGTAAGAGAAATGAATTTAAATAATTTCAATATATATATATATATATATAAACATCTCAAAAATTTTTAAATGGATTTAGGTCATAAAATAAGGAGGGAAATTGGATAGCATAACGGTCAAACTCTTGACAATAATATAATAGCTGCATGAGAATGAAGCGCTTAAAACCTTTATTCATGGAAAAATCCAAAAACCACGAGCTCCTTTCAAATAATCTCTCTCTCCCTAGTTAAAGGGGCTGAAACATTCATAAATGTTCAATTTCCCGAAGAAATTGCAAATCGAAGTCATCAACTTCGAATCAATAACAAATCATACTATTCTCTGTCAAAAGAGAAAAAATCACACTGTTCACAGGTCTCAATATCCACACAATTTATTTTGCAGACTTCAAGTACTAGGATATAGGAAAACATCGTTCATGATGTTTTAAAGTTATTTCTTCTGCTCACTCACTGATTCATGAGCATGATCAAAAACTACATATATGTCAGTAAAATATATAAGAGAATCAGATTAAGACACACTAATTACTTGACAATGGCACACAATGGTATCTTAAGTTTGGCTTTACGTACAATAGAGGCGGAGATGCCCAAAGATCTAGAATGAATGAAACATTAAACTGCTAATTAAACATCACTGCTTCACAACATTCTAGGTATTAGTAGGTGTCATAAACTTCACCTATGCTTTGGGATTAGTTCTCCATCCAATAGTTTAATTCAAAGTATAGTCACCATTCACAAATACCATCTAACTTTAGCAGAGTCTAAATTTATTTATATTAAGAGTTAATGTCAATTTTAATCTCTAAAATTTGAGACAAATATTCAGGGGCCAAAAGTTTTTAGGCAGACTACAATAAGATCAAATTTTAAGAATTAAACCACTGGGATTAAATTTTAGAGACCAAAATATCTAGTTTCAAATTTCAGGGACTAAAACCGATGCCAAATTTTAGAGCCTAAAAATGATATTATTCCCCCGCATCCATAACTTTATACATTTGAAACTTTGTACCTAAGATACTGTCGGGAAGAATTAGATTTATATTTGTAAAAGAGATAGGCTTCTTCTCATGACACGCACCCACATTAATTGAAGAATACAACTTATATATATAGTTACATTTCAATGGAAAAGCTTTCAACAATACAAGCGAAAAAGCTGAAAAAAGTTTGCATATATAGATGAAGTTGAAATTTTACAAGGTACAAACTGATAGTTGACTGAGATATATGTTTCTGCAACGGTGGGAAATTGCAAATTCCCAAGTAATTAAACGACAGAAAATTTTAAGAGTTGTCCATACCATTGATTTATATCAGATACATAGAAACCAAACCTCTCATATAGATTGTGCATCACTGATTTGTTATTGAAGAACCCCCTCCAATTTGATTGTACGCTACAATATTCTCTGCACATCAAATCAACTAATCAGTTTAACCAAATAAATGATTAGTTAAAGAAATATCTGCCTCAATCAGTTTGTCGGTCGAACATTATTAAGAATTTGTATGTTAGGACTGGGAACAATTGCACCCATATGATTAAAGAACATGAGCGTTATATTAAGAACTAGAAAGCATGTTTGGATAAAGTAAACCTTATTTTTACTTAAACACAGCAAAAGAGGGAATACCTAGCATGTGTTGAGATTCCTAGAGGACAGTGACAAAAAATGACTTCTATATATGCACTACTAAAGTTTGAAGCCTAAAGTTTTTGTTGTTATTGTGGATCTTTATATCATATTGAAAATGATTACGATGTGTGCTCCATGTGTCGGCCAACTATTTAATCAAGTGTAAAACGTGGTACAATGCATACGTATATCTGAAGATGAAGAGATTTGGCTAACTCTTGACATTAAGAAGAAGAGGAGGAGGAGGAAGAAGGCATTATTTTATATCTCCAATATAGTAAATCAACTGGAAGATGAAAAAAGAAAAGAAAAAACAGAATAGAGAGAGACCCAAATGAAGCAACTCTTGTTCAATCCATAATATAAATATTAAATCACCAACACATGAACACACACATGCATATCAGATTCCAGAAAGCTTCGGAATCGCTGAGAAATAGTTTCGTAATTGGTTCGATTTGAATATATACAAACGAGAAAGCCCTAATTAAAGGGCTCCAAGCCGATATATTAATTCCCTATAGATCCTTGCTAAACTGTTATGTAAATGTGCATGCTCTAGCAAGGCTAAGCATATTGTGCAGAAAGAAGTGTTTGCAAAAATTAATTTTACATATTTCAAAATGCTTGTAATACACAGCCCAATTATAGATAATCATTTGATTTGCTTAAAGAAACAAAAGGTGGGGTAAGTCTTAACACATTTGTTCAGAAATATATGTATCATCTTCAAATCCGCAAAAAGAATTTCTCCTATATAAAATCAAAATTTAATACTACTTACAAGAATCTTTTTGGTTATCACTGCTCTAGCCAAACATGTTTCTCCCAAACGAACTTAATTATTCTTGACGTTGATAAGCTCAACATCCAATAGCATCTTGATCAGGAGAATAAAACTATTAAAAAACTGTCCCACGGAATCAGATTGAGAGGACATGAAAATCTTGACGAGGTGCGATAAAAGATCACATCAAATGGTGAGCATAAATATATCAAATCATTCCTTTGCATGGATTTTCACTATAATATTATATTTAGGAATAAGTGGGCACACGATGGAGGTGGTGATATGGTGTTAAGTTTAGCAAAACATTTTAATACTACCTCCGGTCCTAATTATAAAAGCCAGTTGACTAATTTGAAGAGATTAAGGAAGTAAGTTAAGTTACTTTTTGTCCTAAATAGGTGTTGTTTTTCCTAAAATATCCTTGCTAATCAAGTGTATTAACTAGAATTATTATAGTTAGAAATGCTACTTTAGAAAAAAAATGTATAAATATAAAAGACAAAGTAGATTGGGGTTTTATATTTAAAACCAAAATAAAAGTCAACAGGATCTTATATTAAGGATTGGAGGTAGTATTAAATTAGCATCAGGTGTGTCTGAACATGAATAATCCGAAAGATTCCATGCAATCATGACTTGATAGTATAAAATTGTAAAGTTGTAAGAAAAAGCCTAATAAAAAGGGAGCATTTTCAACAATTTTATATGTCGGGAAGATGATTTTAATTGGATTATGAAGGCGAAAACCTTAATCAATCATATGGATTCAATCATTCGTTCATTTGATGCTCAGCTACAAAAGGAAGTGTATGAGATCTCATCAGTTGCAAAACCATCTTCACGGTACAGACAAAATCCGCAGGATCCGAAGTTAAATTAGGGAAATATTCGAATAACAAACAATTAATTGATGAACCAGCAAACAATAGCTTTTCATAATGTGCGTGCGTGTTTATTTTTCTTTTTCCAACGTGTGTTCGACATGGCATAACTATAATTAGCTTTCTTTCAACCTAGATGACAGGTGCATGTATATATATACATGTATATGTACATATACGTACATATATTATATGGTATTTATAAACACAACAGATTTGGCCCAAAAAAAAATATAACAGATGCATGAAGGAATACTAAGACTATTTTCCTAATTTAAGTTTTGGAGCAAAATTCCTAATCGATAATTAAAAGTGAGTCCAAGCGGAAATACTTGAGCTTTAAAGAACTGGACACCTGATGATCCAAGGAAACTATACCTATAAAGCACTACTGTGTAACAAGTCAATTATTGCAGTTTTAAGCTTGCTTCTTAGTTTTTCATTGACTTTATTGATTATAATTGTGCGTGTATATAATTCGAAAAAGTATCCCAATTTTCCTAGCTTTATAATGAACAAAATAACCTGACATCCATTAATACTGCATCATCATATATCATTATAAGCATGTAATTAATTAATGAATTTTTTAGGTCTTGACATAAAGAATAAAATTTGACGCTGTTGACTGAATAATGGTAAGCAGAGTGTGAGTGAGGCTGTGAGAGTGAGGAGTGTGTGTGTGTCTGTATTATATATATGTGGGACTTTTGTTGTTTCTTGCTCCCCATTTGGACCAAAGTCTGGGTATGTGTAAATGAAATCAACTTATTAATTACCGTATTACTAAAAACGTCTTGATGAGCATCAAGAAGTGGCCGGCTTGGAAATGCATATCATTGTTTAACAAATTAAAGCTAGATAGCCATATGATATAAACCAAATCGACCGCCTAATAACATGCATGAATGCTTCACGACCATTACAATTACAATCAAAAGTAAAAGAATCTTAGGTTGTGATACGAGGAATATACATATATAAATATATATAGAACTTGAGACATTAATTAGCACAGTAGCACAGTGCATATATAAGCCCGTCAGAATCAATAATAATCCAAGTAACTAAGCAGAGCATATATATGGAGATGAAATTAGCTAAAGTAATTAGTAGGTAATTTAATTACCATTTTGAATGAGCAAGTAGGTGTTGCTCAAGAGAAGTGGATGGTAGTACTGGCAGAGCTTGATTCTTCGTTCCCCTTATTGGTGCTCTTCTTTTTCTTCTTGTAAGGGATGCCTCTAGCCTTGGCCTGACACTCCCTAACCTCGCGCAGATACACTCTTATGGCTCCACTGGCAAAAGGGTTTGTCTCAGGGGACCCACCGTTTTCCTCATAGGCTGCTCTGAGCCTTCCGATGAGAGCGTCCAGGCTTCCCCAAGCCTGCCTGAGTGGGCACGTGCAAGGGGCCGGCGGCTCCGGCTGGCCGTAGAACATGCACCCTTCTACGTGAACCTTGGTCTTCCCAAACTGATCCAGATACCTCAGGAACTCCAAAACGTGCCCGCAATTGCACTGTGATAGAGCCACCGGTGGCCTCTGGTTCTTCAAGTACTGTCCGAACGTGTTCCAGTCTCTCCTCTTCTGCGACTCGTACCGGCTTAGTGCCGGCGTTGCTCCGGAGCTCGATGATCCCTCAGACATGGTGGCTTCCGGATCAGATTGATCGGTTTGGTTAATCTCTTTCTTTCTGAAATAAAAGTGAGAGGGTGAGAAGTTATGTAATTAAGGTGAAAGGAATAGGAGGAGGAGGAGGGAGGAGAGAAGGCATGTGAGCGGAGAGAAGGAAGATGGAGTTTCACGACGTCATTGGGCTACTCATACATGAGTAGACATTTTATGGGCCATATTGCTTTGCTTTTTCTTTCCTTCTCTTTTCACATCTCTTTCTTCACTGTTTCTTAATTCTTTTAATACTCTTTTTTCTTTGGAGTACTAACATTACGTTTGTATACGTGTCCCCTATGTGCATGTATGATTATGTATACATACAATTAGTGCCTGTTCTTTTTCCCAAAAATGCTAGAGAAGCAGGCACTAATAGCTCTTGGAGTTACAGAAACAAATCCACAATCTCCTATTAGCTTTCACACATGAAACCAATAACATTGTTTAGCCTTTTGTAGAAGAGTCTTAATTATTGCCTTGTTAGTGAAGTCTTTTACCATTATTGGCTTCACCAAGATCAGTCCCAAAATCTGTCATGTAATTCCAATAGGAACTAGCTAGCTGCTAATAAAACACGGTGAACAATTAAGAAACAAGCGTGTGTGTGCGTGTGTGTTATATGGCACGCGTGTTAGTATCTATAAGGATTATTGGTAGAAACTAATTAATAAATGATTTCTTACAAAAAAAATTGAATTCAACTAGCTTTTCTGTATCCTGTGGGTCGCATGTGGAAGACTATAATTAGACCAAAGTAATTAGGTAAAATAATTAATGAGATCGGCCATGTTGGAAGCGATGTACTATTGAATAAACAAAAAGGGGGCACGTATTTTTAATATTACTTGAAAGAAAACTAAGTTTTAGGGGGAAATTACAGATATTAGTTACGAAGGTTAAAAAGATTCATCCTGTATATTCTGTGACTGTAGAACTTTGGTCAAAAGCCCGTTGTGATGAGGGCTATAATATAAGAGATCTCAGATCTGCTGGCAATATAATAAGCTTTGATTCAAAGAACACAAGCCCTCGTGAGGTGTCCAAGCTAGATAGGCAAATAATTAAGAATCTCACTGTTCATACTTGACTAGCTGATTCAATTGTGAAATGTGCACAAAGTGAACGAAATCTACTGTTGCCATATCTTGAAGTCGCTATTATGGATGTCTCTGTCAAATTGAGAGTACTGGAATGTGAATATTGTAGAAGCGAGCGAGCTCAAATATATATATACATATATATATAAACACACACACAAGTGCATCTGGATATATATCTGCTACAAATACCAATAACCTTTTTTTTCCAGAAACAGCGTGTATACCAGGTTTTTTTGTACCTCTATTTCTGCAACTTTGCATGCATGCCACTAAATAGTAGTAAATACTTTGCCGTACAGTACTTTTGTTGACCGGGTTCTACTTTTTTTTTCCTATCCCAAAAATAAGTTTGTGTAACTATTCACTCTGCATACTGCTGATCGGTTCGCTGATTTCCATAATTATCTGTTTTTTCATTTTGAGACCGAAAATTTTCTTGATAGTTAGCTGGGTGTACTGTCAATATATCTATCTAAAGTAACGTTATTTATAATATTAAATATCATGATGTAATTATTTTTGAGACCCGATGAAACATATGGGACCCCATATTTAGTTTTGAAAGAAAAAATGTTTATTTGGCCTGAAAGGGAAGCTTGCTCATTTTTCAAAAAGTGAGTTTGAGGAAATAAAATTAAGTGTTGAAGCAAGCTTGTTTTGGAAAACATGCATCTTTTACTTCAAAATGGTAATAGAAGCAATTCTTTTACTTCAAATAAGAAGCAAAGGGATTGGATTTTTCCTGAAATAGAAACCAGCAAGAAACAACTTAATTATTTTTGAAAGATAAAATCACCCTCAATAATCAACTAATCTCCACTTCACTCTCGAGTCATATATATATATATATATATATATATATGCGCCACTGTCAGATTTGAAGTTGACAATAATTTTCAAGAGATTAATGAATATAATAATATTTAATATATATATAGAGTACTTGTCAAATGAAAAATGCTAGCTAAAAGATGAATTGTGTAAAATCAAGAAACGAATTCTCCATCGGCATGATTTTTAATAGAGAAGGTTGAGGTCGATTTCATGGAGATGACAACCGACCAATCTTGAGAATGAGGGTCCCCCCATGATACCCCTCACCCAAATTCATACATTTTAATCATTCAATCAATTATTAAAATAATATTTCAAAGCATGCATTGTGAATAATTAACTCAACATAAATAATTAATTGGACCAAATTTTTACGGCCACCATGATTCTCTTTTTATTTGTTTCAATATCTCTTGTGAAATAAAATACTTACAAGGTACATTGCCTTAGTTAATCATTCACAGTAAGATTTGAAACTTTCACATTTGGAAATACAAATAAAGAGCATTTAATCTAATATTTGTAGGACATGATTTCTATTTGTAGGCTTCATTGAACTAAGAATAACATCTCCAATAAATTGGCTCAATATTATTGTTCGAATACATATATAATTATATTAAACAAAAAATAAAAATTCATAATTGTACAATGATATGCAAGTTTCGGCGGTTTATCCACGTTAATCATAAAAAAAGTCGTTAGAGGTTGCAGCGAAAAGAATGAAATTCTTATACGGACATCCACTATGTTATCATTATATGTACAATCATGCTTTCATTTCATTCTTTTAATGAATTTATTTCTCCGTTTTCAACAATGGGCATTAACATTAAGAAAAGGAGCCCCGGCCTCTCCCAAAAAATGTCTTAATACCTCAATTAATGAAGGGGGTTGAGGTGTTTGATACATAATTGTTGTGACTTAGCACTCTTCTGTAGTGACTTCAGATTATTGATCCTCCTCATCAACAATGCTTTGGTAACTTTTTTAAATAAATGAGGTAAACATGAATAATTAGTCTCAAATCATATTTAGGACTAAAAACAAATTCGGCCCCCTCTAAATTATCTGAATTATCTGAAGGGTGTAATTACTTAGTGAACCCTCCTCATGATAAACATTTATAAATCATTCATGTGTTTCTATTGATTAAAGTTTCGATTTTGTGTTATAGATTGTAATCGAATTTTTTATGTTAGTCTTAAAAACATTAAAAAAAAAGAGAGATCAAGAGAAAAAGGAGTGCATATGAGATGAATGATTACATTAGATTGAAAGATGGTTAATTAAAAGTCAGAATTATCACGTTCCAATATCCGTTCCCAATTAAAACTCTTCACGCCAAATTAAAACAGATATGATAAAGTCATGAAATAGGTTTGCTTTTGGTAGGAATAGTAAATTTTGGGTTGGGTTACCTGATGATGCAGGGAATTGGATTGACTTTTTCGTTAACTTTCCCTCATTAGTCTTTGCTAATCATTCACTCTTTTTGGTGTTCATGCACTTCCCAGCTTGCATTCGTGCTCCACCTCTTCAACTAATTTATTATTTCCTCTAATTATCATTAGTATATTTACAACCATAATTAATGGCAACGCCACCACATATATTTCCCATAAAAAGTTTTAACTGCGAGAGTCTTCAGGTGAATTTTGTCACATCGATCATGTGATAAGATTGATGACTTCAAGAGAGAGTCTATATTAATAATAGACTCTCCTACTAATTACTGTATTATGATTATCTATATAATATCATTTCTTTATAAGCATGGTTTTAAACCGGCCGATTAGACATATTTTCTCTTATATTATTTCCAGTTCTTAATATAAGATCCCCTTTGACTTTTATTTTAATCTTAAATATAATATTTCAATCTATTTTATCTTTCATATTTATGTTTTTTTTTTCTAAAGTAGTCTTTCTAATAATGGTAGTTTTAGCCAATACACTTGATTACCAATGATATTTTAGAAAAAACAATACATATTTATTATAAATAACTAACTTAACTTATTTTTTTAATCTTCTCAAATTAGTCAACTAGTTCTTATAATTAGGATCAGAAGTAATATATCATGAAACATAGGGTGCGCGCGTGTGTGTTCACATATTGATCTATTGATTCATGCACGATCATGATGGATAAATATAGATGGTGCAAAAATATAATTTTAAAATATTTTTCAGCAGAAATAATTTTTTTTAACAAATGTTAACCCTTGAAGTAAGGGAAAATTATGTCTGAGGATTTTGATCTGAAAAAATAAAAAAGAATTTAATAATTAAAATTATTCTCAAATTTCAAAAAAAATTAATAAAATAAATTTTGACCAAGACCTCTTAAAATAGCTACTTTTCCCTTACAAGAAAAAAAACGTTTTTAAAACATTGGTAGGAAATTAACTAAGTCCGTAAAACTTAAACAGTATAAGTTTTCAAAAAAAATAATTACAAAATTTTTGACTCAATCTTTGTTTAAAAGTTCTAAACCCTCAAATATAATTTTCCCAAAAAGAAAAAAAGAATTGAAGTTGATCCGTAGTTGCAATTGAAGCGAAAAGCAAGAAACTTGGTTAGTAAGCTGAGTTTAATTCGTCAATGATTCTTTGGATGATGATGTGTCACAAAGCAGCAAAACCCAAAAGAGAGGGGGAAAAGAAAGAATGAAACGTGGGATATGTTAATTGACATTTAGTGGACAAAAACATTGTACTACTGCATCGTTACGAAGGCAATGAGGAAGCAGAAATAGTATAATTAACTAACATTGATCGTATAGCAATTATTATCATTTTTTATTACTGTTTATTCATGGGTCTGGGACCTTCACTTCGTGAGCTTAATTATTTGATTTAAGAGAATCTGTCTTTGAAAAATTGTGTCCTGATTTCACAAATAACTCCAAAAGTAGAGACCATAAGAGTGAATCAATTCCTTCCACAGATAAATATTCTTTATTGACTATTACTAACAAAAACTTCGGCTCTAAAAAGAACTATCAAGTAACGGCGCAATTTTTCTTTAGTTTTTGCTATTACCCTAATTAATCAATTAAATTAAGTCAATATAAAATATATCTAAAAACATAGCAAGCTT